TTTTTTAATAATAATTTTTACAAATAACAATGTCAAAATTGTCTATATTCAACTTGTCTAAATGTTAATATAATTTTGACTAATAACACGAGGTAAAACAAAAGCTACTATGAAACATACCATACTATTCAGCCCCTCTTTTATACGTGCAAAAAATGTTGGAATCATTATTGTTTGTGCTGAATATGAGAAACTACATCTGTTATTTAGTGCAAAGAAATTACAATTAAAAGAATGCAAGTTGTTAGAATCTTTTTTTAATACTATTTTATATACATGCAGAATATCATTTCATAATACCTGTGATCTCGCTTCTACTAAATCAATTAATCTTGCTGAAAGTAATAAAAGTAATGATCACCAGAATAATGGCCTAAATAACAACCAACCAAGTGATGATTGACAAAGCGATGACCAATTAAGTAACAACCTACCAAGTGATAATACTGCTGCTGATGATATAATTGCTAGATCTAATTGCTTTTACATTGTTAGTGACAAAGAGAACATAAATAATGAGGAGAAGATTAATGAAGAGGATGAAGAGGATATTAACAAAGAGGATGTAAGAGATATTAATGAAAAGGATGAAGAGAATATTAATGAAGAGGAGGATGAGGATATTAATAGAGAAACATCTAATATTAGATCAAAAAAAATTTTTACAGAAGATCCTATCTATAAGCTTTTCTAGCAAGTCTTCGTAAATAATTCATAGAGTTGTGCTTCACTGATTAAAAAGCCTTACTATTCAGCGGGAATATTTCCTGTGGTATGTTTTTTGTATGGTAATAGAAATGTAACAAAAACATCAAATAATGAACGGCCATTGTACATTGGATACAGTGAAAAGGCGTTACTAAAAAAATAGTATAAATGGAGTCCAAGTGCTAATAAAAAAGAAAAACAGCGCAGAATCAGGTAATATATAAATTACTTATAAACTTTTATTTTTATTGATATCTTTATAAATAAATCAGTTATATATAAATAAATCGATTATACAAGCTTTTGCTAAAGTTGTTACTTTCATTAAAATTAAAGTTTAATTTTACTAATTTCACATGTTATAAAATGATATGATTTGATTGGCTATCTACTTGCTACAACATAAAAAAAAATTTTGAACTTTTCAATTTTCGGACCTAGCCAGATATGAAAACCAGTTAATTTTATTTGTATCGCCTTATGTTATTTATTTTGTAATTAAAATTGCACTATTGCAAATTTTTAAAATTTATCAATGAAGATTAAATTATATTAAAATAATTTAATTCTAGTCATCAATTGATCTTTAAAAATAGTAAAAATCTTGTTAAACTTTTATTCATTTTTAATTTACTTGTTATTATTATTATTATTATTTTTTTTTTTCAGCAATCATGCTAATACTTTATTGAATCAATAATTTTAATCTATAACTAAAACATTTCTATCTAG